AAATACATATATATATATACACACATATATACATATACATATATATATACATACATATACATATACATATATATATATACATATATATATATAAATATCCTCATGAATCGGAGGAGTGGCTCCCGTCACAATTGCTTTATGGAAGGCAGACTTTGTGCTGCTCTGCGTTACCATGGTTGCCCTCAGCATAATTTGAAAACATATGGTTGCAATCTTTCGAACACGTGCATTGGTACAACTGAACTGGTCGGCACAAATACTATACAGTGGATCCTCGGTTTACGGACTTCTAATTCATTCCCGAAGGCCGTCCGTGAACCGAAAAGTTCGAAAACTCCGGCCAACTGCTTTTTGTTGATCCAGATCATTAGCATAACTTTTCCTCTTCTTCTATTGCTTGGTGATCACAATCACTCCTTTGGCAAGCTTAGGTTTTTTTTTGCGTCCTTGTTTTTAATGATGGAACAAACCCACAACTTTGCTATGCCATACTGTAAAGCCAGATCTGAAGCACGAACTCATACTTTCTCATACTTTCTTCACTTCTACTGTTGTTCTCACTACTTTTCTTTCCACCTTTCCACTTTCACTAGCTTGGTCCCATGGTGATTTATGGCATAAGAATAAATAAAATAGCACAGCGCAAGGGATACCGGCAAAATTAGCTTGTATATCCCGAGCGCGAGACTTTCTGCCCACCTGATATTGTTGGACTGTTCGGCAACCGAGGTCTGGTACGACAACTGGGACAATTTTTGGTTGTAAATTTGGTTTGTGAGCCGAATTGTTTGACCTGGGAGGCGTTGGAAAACCGAGGTTCCACTGTACCTTTACACCCCTAATGTTAATGTATATACTATATATATATGTGTATATATATATATACGTATACGTATACATATATACACGTTAGCTCCGGGGCTTACACACACACATATATATATATATATATATATATATAGTATATAAGTGCATGTCTGTGTGGCTGATAATAAAGACTTCCAGAAGCTTCCCTGTTTCTGTTTACCTCGGACAGAGCACAAAGTGAAGAGAGTTAGCCCCGGAGCTAACGTTAGCTTCAGCCCTGGAGCAGCAAAGAGCTAACGTGTAACTTTGTAAAACCTTTTCTGTGTAAATATCCCATGTTGCGACATAGACACCTGCTACTTATGAAGAAGTGCGGCCTGTATATGTGCAATTATTTTTTTAATTAGACTTGACAGTCAATAGTCCGGAAATCAGGGTCATTGTGATTTTTACACATTCACAGTGTTGTTTAATTATCATGAATATCAATCAAAAGTGACATAGAGTGAAAGATTTTTTACCTTGGCTAACTGGGCCTTGAGGTCGTTCACCTCACTCTGCAGGGCTTGTTTCTCTCCAAGAGAAGTCTTAAGGGAAGCATCCTTGGAGTTAAACAGGGCCTCCAAGTCCCTCAATCTGGCCAGAGCTGCCTCGAGATCCGACTCCTTCTTAATATTTCTGCAATGAGAAGACAAATACAACTGAGACGTACATTTCCGCGGTCTTGAGATTTCCGTGATATTCCCCGTAAGAGCTGGAATAATTCGTTCATAAATGAGAATCATTGGAATACAACAACTGATAGAAAAGTCCATAAATTTAGCAAGCAAAATTAGCAAATAGCAAATTAAGGCCCGGGGGCCGTATGCGGTCCGTTCAGCTTTTTAATCCGGCCTGCAAACTTTTTCCAATTTATATAACCTTAGGCTGCAAAGGGTAAACTATTTCCCAGCATTCATTGTATTAACAGACCAAGGATAAATTCACGTCTTCATTCTCAAAATTAGCTCAAGAGAAAATAAAATGCTGCTGCGTTAATCAACGCATCAAACTTTACCTTCAAGCCTTCGAACTAACTCAAGAGCTTCTTTAAAAGGAAGGACATAAAATAAAAGTGCCTAATAACAATAAACCGGTCTGCGATACAATTACATGTTGGGGCTAACTGGTTTGGATTGAATTTTCAATACAATGTTATTATGTCACCGCCAATACAGCACATGCTTTGCAAATGTAAACAATATTTTTTTACGAGCGTTTATGCGATTGAAGTCAATCTTCGGTATCGAAGTTTGATTACCTGTGCGGTCCCTAGCATTTTTATTTAAAGACACGTTTAGCACAGACAGTGTCCATGACGTTCCTTTTCACTTGTTACCTACTTTGTGCTACAAGAGTAATGTTTCTGACATATATTTGATGTTGTGTGTTCATAAAACAAAAGAGCAAAACATGGGTTCCTATAAACATTTTATGACATCCCAGATGCGATTGGTCGCTGACTTCCTGTTTACCTTTTAAGAACACCAAACTGACCAGACAAATGTGGAGCTGTGACCGTATAGTCACTGCAGTTGAATCAAAGAATCCAAAAAAAATTACGTTTTTATGTCCAGGACGGTTCCTCTGAAATACAATCAGATGGATTCATTTAAACTGAGATTCATAATAATTATTATTATGTTAGTCGCATTGCTTTCTAAGCAATCAAGTCAAGCTTTTTAAAGTCATTATAAAGTAAAGGAGAGACGGATCCGAAGTGAGTTGATAAGAAATCTCGGTGGGTTGCATGAAGGAACAAGAAAGGGTTAAGAGAAATTTGAAAAAAAAAAAGAAGGAAATCTGAAGGGGAGGAGAAAGAATGTATTGGCTGGCCTCCCAGTCTCGTGGATGACTCAGGGCTATGTACACCCAACTAACAAAACAGAGACACGCCCACTGAAATGAGATGAAGGGAGAAGAGATATGACTTCTCTAATGGCGTGTGCAGACATTCCACTTTGCCGAAGTTCTAGTGGAAAAGTAATATTTTATTTCGAGCAATTTGACTCATTGGTTTTTAAAGAAACGAGAACTGTTTTCTTTTGTGGCACTGCGTGGAATTCCGTCCGAGTGGCTGTTGATAGTGTGGTATGTTACTACAAAGAACACACATCCCAATCAGTCAGAAACGTGTGGGCACATGAGGGTGGGGTTTACCAGATGACTCACTTTTGAAACATGTGTGTATGTGAATGGGATCTCCCGAGGGCTGAGAGGGGGAGCTCCGTGTGCGTGGGTCTCTTTTTATAGCCCACTTTTCCTTTTTCCATGTCCACTACATCACTGGGTACTTAAACTTTTACCAGCTCTGGAAATATGTGGCTCGTCAAAGTAACGGTACCGACGTACTACGTTAAAGTAAGCTAGCGGTGGGAATGCGGCGGATTGTCCAATGTCTTTAAATGTTCAACAGTGGACTGGAAAAAAAAAAAAAAAAAAAAAAAGGCCACCCACACATTTACTTTATGCTCTCAATTTAAGTTCTCAATTTCTGCGGTGATTTGAAAAAGCCAATGTCTGTCGAGCTCAGGCGTCGGCAAACTTTTTGACTCGCGGGCCACAATTGTCCTAAAATTGGACAGGGGGGGACCGGGTCAGGAGCGTTCGTGTGATATCAAGATAAATGACGATAATAAATGAAGTAAAAGTCATGCATAAAGGCTAAAATGCTTTTATCATTTTCTATGCCATCTATTGGGGAAACCTGGGTATTGCAGGGGGAAAAGCAGAAGTATAATGATGATATAAATAAACTATATAATTTGAAAAATTTTGGCGGGCCTGATTAAAAAGCTGAATGGGCCGCATCCGGCCCCCGGGCCTTAGTTTGCTAACGATTTACATCAATCTCAACTTTTTTTTTAGAGTTGATAATAAAGCCAGCCTAAAAAAATGGAACTAAACTGAAAAGGACGATAAATACGAGATTTACATTCATTTGTAGAGTTCCTCAAGAGATTTTTTTTTTTTGGGGGGGTTGGGGGGGTTGGTGGTGCCAAAGTGTTCTCATGAACCAAAGGGGGGGCCCAGCAGAGAAAGTTTGGAAACCACTGTGGAGAACTATGTTGGGTCTTTTTGATGCAAAACCTACAAAATATACTAATAAATGTACTTGTTTTGAAAAAAACATATAATTAAAATGAAATGTATATTTATGTGAAGTTTCCTATAACTCATGGTGAAAAGTGATCTCTCTGTTTTTGGATGTGGATGTTAACCCTTTCATGCATGACGCTCACTACAGTGGACAGCTATTAACATTGGAGTGGATTCTCAGGCGTCCACTGTAGAGGCTTATATGGAACACTGCCATAAAAACATATTCTTATCATAGAAAATGACATTTTAATAACAGCTGTCCACTGTAGTGACCGTCATGCATGAAAGGGTTAATTTATTCATTATCATTATACTTCTGCCTTTTTCCCTGCACTGTACTCACGTTTTCCCAATAGACGGCGTAGAAAATGATAAAAGCATTTTAGCCTTTCTAGCGAGTCAAAACGTTTGCCCCCCACGCCTGCCTTAAAACAACAGTACACAGGGTTTCTACTCTGCAAAAAGCATGCGTCACAATTGGCAGTTGGTTGCCCATTTGTGTACAAAAGCTTCATGTTCCTATGTGCAGGTTTGGGTGGGTCTTTTTTTTTGTGTGCAGACATTCCTTGTTACTTCCTGCATGGCTAGTTGTGATTCATTTGGGAATGATTACTGTTTAGTTTGCTACATCTTTGTTGTAGTCTGCTCCACTGTTCAATCAAGTTCATTTTAATATCTAAAAAGAGTAACAGGAGTTGTCACCTTGAATTTAGTATTAAGTATTTCCAGTGAAAATGCTGTTATATTAAGAAAGCACAATGGAAAATGCCGAGTACTTTACCATGTTCTCTACTACTACTTCCGCAATACAGGGAAATGATTTTAAACATGATTATTGAATCTGTTTTTGATTTAATCTATCCCATAAAAACAAAGACATTTTAGTAAGACCTGTATAACCAACTCGCTTCAACATGACAGAGCTCAAACTGCTCTCAACTTTCGCTACCTCTCGCTCTCAACTTTCGCTACCGTTCTCTCTATTCCCACGCACATATACGTACACGGCCATTCACAGACAAACACACGGTAACACACAGTAGCCTACCAGAAAAGTCATTGGTCACTAGCGATATGAACTTGGTTAGCCCGTGGTAAAAATCCACGAATTAGCCGCATCATTGTTTAAGCCGCAGGGTCCATAGCGTGTGGTAAAAAAGTAGCGGTTTATATAGTCCAGACATTACGGTAAATAAAAGCATGACTAGTGTAAATTTAAGCTAAAACAATACCCACTACAACAAGATTCAAACATCATTGTTGTCATAAACTGTGCTTAATACCAGAGGTTTTAGATATTGTTCCCCAAAAGCCCATTACAAACTGGTACAGATTTGTAGGACATTTGGTACTGGGTCGCAGTGAAAAAATGTACTTCACTCTTACTAATTGACTTCATTCAAAAAGAATCCAGCTATAACCCCTTACTTTCTTCTTTTAAAGACAATCTGACAACATTCTAAATTAATGTAATTCAGACTCCGATACTAACAGGTTACAATCTCTAAGATGTTTTATTGAGAAATTTTGATGACCGTTTGTAGCCATCATACAAAACAGGTTGGGGACCATAGCTCTAGACATGTAAAAGAAGGTCTAAAAAGAGGCATTTGAGTAGCGGACATGTATCATAAATCTCTCCTTCTTGCTCTTTCCTAGCATGAATCAAAGTGACAGACTATTCTATTATGCCTTTCTGTCACATTACACTGGCCAGCCCACTTTTTCCACTCCTGAAGGCAGAGATTAAAAAGAAACAGGATAACACACTGTGAACAGAGCAAAAAAAAAAACAAAACAATGATCCGACACTGTGAGACACCTTCAAGGAGGTGAAACATCAGCAATGGTGGAAGTTGTTGTTATAACCAAAATGCGTTGATATATAGCTTGTTGGTTACAGTGGTGACGCAAACGATTGAATACACCTATCATCTAGTTAATTCTTCAAATCAGAAAAAAACATACTCATTCTAAACAGAAGTCTGACTGAAAAAAAAAATTATTTTTTTTTAGAACAATGTTTTAATTATTAGCAAAGGTGGGACCAAGTCGTTGCTTTGCAAGACACAAACAAGTCTCAAGTCTTTGCACTCAAGTCCGAGTCAAGTCTCAAGTCAAGACAGGCAAAGTCCGAGTCGAGTCTCAAGTCAAGACTGAAAAGTGTCAAGTCAAGTCCCAAGTCCTGCCGTTTCTGTTTCGAGTCCTTTTAAATAAAATAATAATATATTTACACAGATCACTTTGGGTTTGGGAGAAAGTATCAAGTCTTGTCGAGTCAAAGGGCTCGAGTCCAAGTGAAGTCACGAGTCATTGACGTTAAAGTCCAAGTCGAGTTGCAAGTCTCTTTTTACATTTTGTCAAGTCGAGCCTAAAGTCGTCAAATTGATGACTCGAGTCTCACTCGAGTCCAAGTCATGCGACTCGAGTCCACACCTCTGATTATTAGCATAATTAATTATTTTATATCATGACTGCAACAAGAAAAAACATTATTGGCAGTGAAGTAGTAACTCCTACCAAATATAGTTTGTTTGTTTTTTTTTTTAACACAAGTCTTGTGTTTTAATTGTGAGAGTGATTTAAAAAAAAAAAAAAAAAAACAACGTTTGAGAGAACATTGCGTACCTGTCTGTACACCTTTAATCACGATGTGCTGAGAGGTGGGTGGACATGTTAAGGGAGGTGGAACAGTAAATTGGGAGTGGCTGTTTACTTTAGGGCTGTGGTGATGACAAACACTTCATCTGATCTACTTCTAAACTCAGAGAGAGTCTCACTACCCTAAGTATACATTTATGTATTTGTGTGTATGTACATGTATGTGTGTACATATATGTGTATATTATAGTGCATATAAGTGTATGCATGTACGTATACGTGTATATATGCATATACAGAACTAATATCTATCTACACTGTTACATCTGCTGTAACTGCCTACATATATACATACATATATATAAATATATATATAACTTTGTTTTATAACTGTTTGTTTAACTATTTCAAGTGTTTCTATATTTTAAACTATTTACATACATGTTCATGTAACAACTTTTATAATTATTACTTACGTTGCCTATATATACATACCACAGAGATAATGTGGCATACATATAAATATTATTATTATACGTAATTATAAATGAATTGAATAATAGACAATAATTACACGACACACAACATTAACAATTATCCAACAATCTACTTAGACTACTAATGCTAATCTGCTAATACCCACTGTTTAGGTTTTCCCTATATACACCCACTATAAACAAACACACTTTTTTTTACAGCAAATCCGCAACAGAAGAACACGTTGAACGCTGCGGACTGCAATTCGATCTCAAATCCATAAATCCAGGATTTCACGGAATCCTTAACATGAAAGGTTATATAACGAAATTAGCTTTCGTTTAACACTTTGAATTATTTTGCAGATAATACATACATGTGTTTAGATTGCCTTAAATGTGTTTCTCTTGATGTAATAGTGCAACGGAAAACACATTCACACTGCACTACTGTTCCTTAAGACTCGGACATAATTCAATTTTTTTTCTTTTTCGGTGTGACCTGGCTCTTGGCCTTCTAGTCTTAAAATGTTTTATCCACATTCTGTTTTTTTTTACCGCTCATTACTCAAATTTGGCTTTTGGCACGGGGAACAGAGCACGTGTTCGTTGTCGTAGTCACGCACGCTGTACGAGAAATAGTAATGCTTTCAGGCAAAAAAAAAAAATGTTTTAAACTCTGACTTGAAAACAAAACACTGTGCTATATTGTTGTTGTTTTTTTCTCACCTAAAGTTACGATAAAGAGTTATTCATAGACTCCGACTTCTGCTGTGCAGTGACTCCACCGTCAGCCATTTTAAAAGAACAAAAAGACCTCTGAGTCACCAACCGTCGGCCATGCCAAGGTTTTCACAGATCCATGACAACCAAACACCAAATACACTGGCTGTGGTCCCCTGCTACAGGGTTGCACTCACTATCCCTATTCCTTTCTGATAGCAGATAAAAAAAATGTATGTAATATATGTAAATGTATACATACAATATATACAGCATTCCTTAGCTCCTAACCTTAATGTTAGCCATACCAAAAACTGTATTATAACTTACTATAACATTTACTAGTAGTCAAAGTGTTGAACCTAAGACTACCCTTAAGCATGGTGCAGTTTACTGTTTAGCGCGGTCACATTTATAGCATCATTAGACAATTATTTACACCTTATCATAGGATTTCTCTAGAGCAAAGATCGCATCAGTAGTATATTTTCCCGCCAATCACTGATCTCAACCTCTGGCCTGAGCCTCATTTCCGCAGCTCTTTAATACACCTCTCATATACCAGTCATCAACTCACACTTTCTATAGTTCCTAAAACTCCATCAACTCACACTTTCTATAGTTCCTACAACTCAGAAAACATGCAGAAAACATTTCCTGTTTTCCGTTAATACTTCCACGCGCAGGAGTCAAATAACATGCAAATATCAAGCAAATCGTCTGCTCTCCGAAGTAGGAACGCGTGGTTTTTCTTCCTTTGTGTGAAACCAACACTGTCCGCCAGAGGTGGGACCAAGTCATTGCTTTGCAAGTAACAAGTAAGTCTCAAGTCTTTGCACTCAAGTCCGAGTCAAGTCTCAAGTCAAGACAGG